ACATGCAGGTAAAGGAGGTGAAGGCTAATCTAAATCAAATTGGATATGACATAGAGTTTATTCATCAGATGGTATCTGGATTGGTAAGTTATTACGGAGTATATGTTATGGAATAGTAAAAAATTTTAGGTTTTTATTTTTCGTTCTTTGAGATAAAGGGTTGTGGTATAGCCATATAAGAGAAAATTTGAGGTGAGAAAAAAAATCATCCATAATTTTTTTTAATATAAGTTTTCTCATAGAATCTGTTTACATGTACAAAACTACAAATAATGAATGTTATCAAAACTGGGATAGGCGAGGGCATGGGTTCCCCCCTGGCTATGTCCATGATAATGGTGGTTGTTTGTAAAGTGTAAACTCTTTAAACTGATACCTGTAAATATTATTAATGTTCATCCAAAATGCAGGAAGGCAAAATTGAACTTCTTGAGAATAACCAGGTAAACCTCAAAACATGTCATAAGCATATTCCACTTCCATTTCCCCTGTTGTTATCATTGAACATATTCTAGTTACATACTTACATGAAAAACATCATCAGTATGGTTTTCTACTTACAGGATATCACGAATTCTGGTTTATGGTACTTGTGCCAAGTCGCTGGGGAGGTCGAACGTGGTCCACATCCTAAGCTTATCGAGGTATAAGAATTTTTCATCTTTTTAATCGTTACATTACTTACTATATTCATAATAGAAATAATGACATCAATAATGCATTAATACCTCCAGCTTTTTATAGGACAAAAATAGGATCACTTTTGAATCTGAACAGAAAAGAGACCTATTAGATATGGAAGGACTGAAATGACCTTTAATATAAAATAAATGAAATAAACTGGGTTCTCTTCCGCTGCAACATACCTCAGATCTGCAACGCCTTGCGCGGATGAAAATATTTTCGACAATCTCTCTTCTGCCTCCACCATCTGTCTGTTTGCATTCTTCTTCTCTTCTTCTACTCATCTGCCTACCATCACCGCCTTCATCTTCTCGTCTCGACTCAAATCAGGCGAATGAACAACGGTGGCTTCTCAAATCTAGGAATGGAGAAATCAATGCTTCTAATTGAGATGTTGAAGGATATAGTAGTTTAGGCTGGAAAACATATGATGAGTCAAATGCACCTGTTATATGGCGGCTAGGCTGTCAACATTGGTGGCTAAGGATTCAGCATCGGCGGCTAGGGTCTTGAGGCCGACAGGCGGCTGTCGGCTATGGGTACAGGGTTGGTTTGAGCAGGGCCAAGGGATGGTGGCTGGACTGGAGTCTGGATTTGTGAGGTCGTGATGGGGCAGGGGGTTGGGTGAGGCATGGGACTGGGGTGATGCAAAGGAGGGGGTTGGGTGAGGTAGGGGGCTGGGGTGACTCAGGGGAGGGGGTTTAGTAAGGCAAGGGGCTGTGGAGGGCGGCGGCGGGTTGCCGGTGGTGGCCGGAGGCGGTGGTAGTGGTGGTCACTATCGGAGCAGTTAACTGTAACTGGCTGGGTCGGGTAACTGTATCCAGCGGGTCGAGTAACTGCAACTGGTGGGTCGGGTTATTGCGTCATTTTCAGTTATTGTGTTGCGTCATTTTAGCACTAGTGAGTGAGATTATATTAGTGCAAGGGTATAATAGTCTCTTAACATCTTTTTAGTCTTATTTTTGAAAACTGAAAAAGGTCACTTTTTGTCAAAACGTCATTTTTATTAATACTTATTACATAACCCCATCATCATTCTTTAATATCGATATCTTCTTTCCTGAAAGTGTGGCTGAAGTTGGTTGTTGAACTTGCTGAATTGTAGAAAACATAACTAATTAACTAGGACATATTTTGCAAATAAAGAACATACTCCCTCCGGTTTTTATTAAACTTCACACTTTCCTTTTTGGGACGGTCTAAAATAAACTTCACACTTCCTTATTTCCTTTTTTGGCAAAGAAATCTACATCCAAATAGTGTCAAACAGTGTCTCAACAGTGCCAAACAGTGTCTCAACAGTGCCAAACAGTGTCAAACAGTGCCTCAACAGTGTACTCTACAGTAAAGTCAAATTTCTTTTCTTATTTTGTGTGAAGTCAAAGTGTGAAGTTTAATAAAAACCGGAGGGAGTATATTTTGTAGAACCTAATACTTGGTATCTAAAAAAAATCTACAAATGTCAAGAAAGAAAAAGTGGAGGTCAAATTTGACTTTTTTCGTTGTCTTCTACTCAAGGGTCAAACCCCATACTCATATCATCCCCATTTCCACAACTAGGTCTCGTAATTAAGGTTTATTTTGGTTGTGGTATAGGAGGTTGGTGCTAAGCTAATACAGCATTCAAAATTGATTCCTGCAAATAATAATTCAATAAAGGTATGTTATCTGAATTGTGTGTATTAAATTGTTATTATGGACATGGTCTGACGAAACTGCGGGTTCTGTTTGTCCAGGGACTTCAGTTCATTGCTGAAGCGGACAAAACAACAAAAGAGCAAGACCTTTTGGTAGGTGATGATGATGCAAGTAAAGGAGACCCGCCCAAAGTTGTTTCTGCTAATAAAATCCATAGGTCGTATCGAGTTGGCTTGTCCATGACTTCAAGTATGTTGGGTGCCCATATGTGATAGGACCACACTACTATCTCAGCATTTTTTGCCCTGAAATGTGCATATATTTCATTGTTTCCTCCTCAAAGGTGAAGTCGTTTGATGGTGATTATGTCTGTAGCAAACCAGTATCATTCATATTGTATTGTACTGTACCCTCGTGTAATCATGGAAATAATAACAAAGATTCAGCTACAGATACAGCGTGTTATTAAGGAATTCATTTTTTGATGCAAAGGAATTATTGTTCATCAGAATCAGACGACCATGTAAGTGTACATGTTTAGAGTAATTATTACTAGTATTATTTATAGTGAAATATTCGTTGCATTGCATATTTGGTGATTGAATAACAAAACACTTTTATCTTGTGTACTATAGCTTCTTTTTCCTACCCTTTCCCGGTTTGGGTTTGGAAGATGTGACATTTTGATGGCTGTCGAGGATGATGATGACGGAGGCTCTTGCTTCATTATCCTATTAGGGTGTCTAGGCACCAATTCTGTAACACCATCATCAGCTCCTTTCCTGCAAAGTAATTACATTAAATGCATGGCTATTTTAGCTTGCACTTGAAGTGTTTATCATTAATTCTTATTATTAGCACACTGTAGCACATACAAAAGCTCTCCCCTCTCACAGTCTCACGTGTTAGTGTGAATATGTGATCATACATAGTGGCAACGAACAGGATACGATACAACTCTGCAGGATGGTTGGAGGACCAATAACAGAAACGGACCACCGGATACATCTAATAAAAAAAAGAAATAGTGGGGCTGGTGTTTCATCTTGGTGCCATATGGCAGTGTATTTCAGTGGTTTCATACTTTCATGCCTCAAACATCACATTAGAATTCCAGATACACACGAATACATTAAAAAAATATGGAGTGTGAGAAGCAGGGCTGAAAGCCTGAAACCGTATAAACTAACTCCATGTTGTGGAAATATACTGCACCTACATTTGTAAGTAGAAGCGGACATGATCCTGATCTTGGGATTAATTTTTCCGCTTCCGAGCCATAATTGAGACCGTTGGGTGGGTATATAGAGAGTACCAGTCCCGGGACCGAGACCGGCCGGTTGCAACTCGATTTCAGTCATTTTTTACATTACATCCATTGGAAGCAACTTAAAGGGTGGGACCGTGGGAGTCCATTTAAAAGCTGAGAAAAGTGGAAGTTTGATGAAGAGAGGAATGGAGATTTAAAAATTAATATAAATAAATAAACAAACCAAGACCAAATCAGGACTTAGAGGTGACCAGAAGAGGATATATAGGTCCAGAACCTCATAATTTTTTTTAATAACCAAGCGGTCTAGAACTGAAACCGTGTCCATGAATAGATGTAAGCAAAGCCTGTTTTGTTTACTCTAAACAATTCTGGTTTCATACTTTCATATCAGCATACAGAGGACTTCTAGTCGACATAATAAAACTCATACCTTATTTAATCCTGGACAATTTAGCCAATGCCCAACATTCTCACATAATTTTAGCATAATCAAAATCAGGCTTAAACTCACTTTTTAACCACATTTTTGAAAAGTATACCACTCAATCAAACCCTATATATATATATATATATATATATATATATATACACACACACACACACATATATATATATATATATGTGTGTGTGTATATATATATATATATATATATATATATATATATATATATATATATATATATATATATATATATAGACAAATATTCAGGTTCGGCCATGCCGGACCACTCCCCCCGTCCGGCCTCCTCCATTTGGGGGCCTTCCCGGTGGTATTTTTTGCTCAATTTTTTTTGTGTAGGTTCCTCATCAAGTCTAGTTCATTCATACCAAATTTCAGCCAAAAATTCAATCGGGAAGGTCGTCAAATGATTTTTGCAAGTTAACTGGTTCGGAATATGTATTTTCCGGACCAGTTAACTTGCAAAAATCATTTGACGACCTTCCCGATTGAATTTTTGGCTGAAATTTGGTATGGATGAACTAGACTTGATGAGGAACCTACACAAAAAAATTTGAGCAAAAAATACCACCGGGAAGGCCCCCAAATGGAGGAGGCCGGACGGGGCTCCGGTCAGGAAATTCCTGACCGGAACAACACTCTCTCTCTCTCTCTATATATATATATATATATATATATATCTATTGAAAATGATTTCAATTACCTGCTTGTACAAAGATCTTCAAATTGAGAGGTGTAGAAGAAGATAGTGCAAAAGAAGTAGAAGACGCAAGCTGAAAAAGGGGAAAGTTGAAGGGGGTGGGGTTAGTGGTGGACTCGGGCCGGTTCGGCCCGGGCCGGGCCTAGGCCCGACTGGTCCACCAGTTAGGAAATGTTGGGCCCGGGTAGCCACCGGGTCCGGTCCGGGTCCGATACTGCTGCTTAATAACAAAGAAAAACAGACAGTTTGGTGAGCCATTTTGCTTTATTCTATCATATTCTCAAGGGAAAAAATAATGAATCTTTTGCTTCATAACATTATACATTTTTACATTTTTTGTGCACATAGCTTTTCATGCACTACAAATGGTTACTCTTGGTGCATGTACAAATGATGAAGCTGCTAAGAGTTGACGAGTATAAAGGGGTCTATTATAAAATAGAAGAGATGCAGCATAAATCACTGGACTTTGTCCTCTTGCCTCTGCTGCAAGTACCTGCACATGGAGAAAACAAAACACAATATATCATATTAGACACACTGCGTGACTACATCATAAAAGACTATAGGTTCAACTTGGTATATTCGTAGGACTCAAGTTCTTATGTTTCAAATCGACCCATACGCATTGCAACTTTATTTCATTGGCTTCACCCGTGTCAGAATTATAACATGTTTCTCTAGAACATATACCAAGCTTTTGACTTCTCCCCAACAACACAAAATGACATACAAGACGGCACACAGCAATGTACTACACTACTACTATATCTTAAAAATATACCACATAGTATTATATTTTAGTATTGTAAAAACAAAAAATATTTGCCTAGCAGGAGGTTTTAAGCTTCTTTTTCTTCTTCAGATATTATCTTATACCTATATATTAGAGGATCCCTCATAATGTTTGGGAGTTTGCAGGTGAGGCAAGTGGAAGGCTTAGAGGGGGAGAGTAAAGAGAAAGGGAGATGGGAAGGGATTCCTTCCTCTTGTTTGGGAGCTACAAATTTGAAAAGAGGGGGGGGGGGGGTATTGAAAAAAATGTAATTAAAATTATCTTTTTTGTAGATTAATGAGGTCAGATTTATGTTAAAATATACTAGTATATTTTAGTTTTGTACAACAACAACAACAACATTATCCCAGTGCCTTTGGTGGGGTAAGGGAGGGTCGGGTGTACGCAACCTTATCCATGTACGGAAGCAGGGAGAGACTGTTTCCGGATGACCCATGATTAAATCGCGTCAAAAATTGCATGGACTGACTATTGCTTCATAACACAGAAGCGCAAACAGTATATTTTAGTTTTGTAAAAAAAATTGCCCAGCAGGAAGCATTTTTTCCTTCCTCGGTTATTATCTTATACCTATATATTAGAGGACCCCTCGGTTATTATGTTATACCTATAAGCAGGTTTAATGCATTGCTTTGGATTCTACCTATAGTGTCAACTTCTGTTCCCTGTGTATGCAATACATCCCTCAATGTCTGAAAGATTCAAATATTCTTTATTTGGAAATGGAAAGATATCATAAATTATATTCATTGCCTTAATTACAAAAAATTCAAGAATAGGTTCTTTCATTCAACATCCTTCCAATTGTAAAAACTAACAACAAAAGCATACGGCACTAAAAAATAAAAACAAAGACAAGAAAAGTTGGTATTCACACCTAATGTTTACAACAATATTTTACTTTGCCCCCTAGATCACCCCAGTATAGGGCACAAAGTTAAATACTATTGAGGTAAGCATGAAGTGAAAATGCCAAATTCCGTTAGACTTTACACCCCATGTTTTACCTTCATAAAACATGGGGTGCAAAGTCAATTACTATGGTGAAAATGAATGTGAATAATTGAATATTATTTTTCCGAAAAAGAAAGAAGTTCCTTGGAAAATGAATGTTTGCATATATAATATCAAACTACGGCAAAGTTGGAGCCCGTTTGGTAGCATGAAAATCGGCTGATTTGGCTGATTCTGCTGAAATTTATGAAGTTCTGGCTGAAGTGGCTGTATTGGCTGATTCTGCTGATTTAAGAAAAAAATACTTTTACAATATATTTTTATTAATAAAATAAAGAAAAAATTATATGTAAAAATAACTAAAATGGTCATCTACAGTAACTTCAGCCAATACAGTCATAAAAGTAACTTGAACTTTACTTTTTCTGCTTATTACAAATTTCAACGCGCGAAAGCAAAAATTACGTATTTGGTGAAAAAGTTGGCCGATAAGTATGATAAGCCGAAAAACAGTGGTTCCAAACGGCCTCTTGGTGTAGCAAATAATTGTGTAAAAGGATTAAATACGTGGAGCATGCCAACGCGCTTAATGTAGAGCAAGTTGGCATGATAATTGGCCAGGACTCACCCCTTTATAAAGATTGAGAAAATTCCGAGTGCTCTATTGTGAGCATGCTGGTGACTTGGCATGCTGCATTGCTCCATTTATATATATTTCGGAATGAAAAGGTCATACTTCATTTTCTATCATACTTTATGTTTTTCCTTTTATTTTCAAACTTATTTTTTACTACAATTTCTATACAACGGAAGGTTTTTTAAAAGCAAAAAACTCTCCCCCCTGCCTCTCACTTTATATTTACTAATTTATTAATGTACTTATTTACTTTGGGTTTCAAATTGCGTTGGCTACTGAGTAAGTAGTAGGTGGGTTAAATATATTATGTATACGATATTTGATAGTATATTATGTATGCCAGGAACCAGATTTGAACTGGTGAGTGGTGACACAAGGATTTTCAGTCCTCTGCTCTACCAGCTGAGCTATCCCGACCCATTCCCAAGATAGAAACTCATTTGATTGGAAAAACTTTTAGGCTTTGCCTACAAATGCAATGACCTCAACAACTTTGACAAAATTGGATTTACACCAAAAGGCGTGGCTTATAGCAAGGAAGGATCCGCTTTGAACTCGGGAAATACTTGGAAAACAAAGAATAGCTCAAGGCCTCAATCTAAATAAAACTATTTTAGGTGTTTGTTCAAAATCATTATTTTATTTATTTCTATTATATAATGGTTAAAATTTCAGTATACACTCCCTCTGTTCTTAATTAAATGTTCTACTAGGTATTTTGTGGGTTTTAAGAGGAAAATTGTGGGAATAATATAGAGTGTAGGGTAAATGAAAAAGTAGGAAAGAGAATATAATAAGAAAAGGAAAGTAATGAAAAAGTATGAAAGAAAAAGTAGTTTGTAAAAAGTACAAAAGGTAAGGATATAAAGGTATTTTGATAGGAAAAATTTACTAAGAATGAAAAGATGCACAAATAATAAAAAACTTCTCAAAAAGAAATAAGAGACAATTAAATAAGAATGGGGAGAGGATGATATGCTCTGTACTAAATATAGGTAATCAGGTAATCATATTATATTTTTCATAGCATTGTCAAAGGTAATGCCACATAATAATAAATTAACTTTTCTTACCATTCTTTTTCCTTTCTCTAGGATTTTCCAGGACCCAAAGATAGACTCAATTGATGGAGTAAAGGAATCTACATCTATGATCACTTACCCCTGACTCTTTGCCCAACGAGATAGTTGATACAGCTGGACACACTCATTTGAAATATGGCATGCCAAAAGTAGATGGTTGCGAGGCTGAACCATCCATGCAAACCTCATGGCCAATGCAGAATATATACACATTGCTGCAACACCAATAAAATGGGAACATTAGTTTCTATATCAGGGGCTACACTCACTCTTCCTTTAAGGTGTGTGGGGTGCAATTTACCTGATGACATCTCTCCAGATATCATTTCAGGGGGCTTCTGTGTATCCAATAAAGCCTGAAAGGCCCCGTTAACACAAATCAAGCAAAGCAGAGTGAAATAATCAAACTTTTGGCTTGCTTAATATCTCTTTTGGAGAAACGCACCGCTGCAACAAATCCCCAGTTCGCCATAGGACCCCAGAAATGAGTAGTTTTAGGACCGATTGGACTGTTCAAGAATGCTCTAAATGAATTCATCAGATCAACTGCTCAATAGTGCACAGCTGTTAAAATTTATAGCTGGATACAAGGAAAAAGAAGCAATTCTCTATGAAAACGTTAGCACAACAAAGCAAGAAAAAATAAAACATAATATATATATAGCTAAAAGTATGGCTATTAGAAAAATATACATCTACAGAAAAGTATTGTCATCAATATTCGAAGCTCTAACCAATGCTTGGTTCAAAGGAGAGAACGAGATTTTCTGGATATGCACAATGCAGCACTAACGTCAATGCAGAATTGCAGATGTCATCAAATATTTGTTACACAGAATGAACACAGTTTTGGAAAGAGATTCCTTTACCATAGATCAGCTTTGAAATGCTCATAATCCTATTCTTTATGAGCTTGTGAAGTATATAGAGATCCATGGTCATATCATTCCAGGAATAACTCGGAGAGGCATTGCTAAAATGCTTCATGTTTCTACTATCAAACAGTTGGCTAATGTATTCACCAAGAGTCCGTTTGGTATTTTCCTTGGTTTTAATTTCTGGGGAACGTAATTCCTTGGAGTTGTAAAAATACAACCAATTCTTCTTTTTCAAAGGATACCATCCGGTTATCAGGTAATCTAATCCTGTGCGGCAAATATTTTGACCATTTACGTGCTGAGGTTGCATTCAATGACATCTACCTAATCATCATATTTTTTTAGTCAACTAAAAAAAATACTCCCTCCGTCCCTTAAAACTTTGTAGATCTTTGAATTTTTCAGTCAAGTATGTTCAACTTTGACTGAGTATATATTTTTATGGGAAATTATTTATGATATAAAAATTATGTGAAAATGTTCTTTGTTAAAAGTACTTTAATAAAAGTATAAATGTAATGGCGCCCCCAATCATCATAATACTATACTAATCAAAATCATTGTTCTACTAAATGAGCACCCACACAAGAAACCTTAGGAATTTGAAAGTATTACCAAACAGCACAAAAACACAAAATATAGATAGGGTAATTATAGATATATATGTAATGGCGCCCCTAAACTTGTTCTCCTGTCTGCCAAATGCTGCAAATAGTCAACCCTCTGTTCAGCGTCTATGAAGATGTTAATTCTTTTTAAACTTACGCCAAACGAAGAACTTTAAAAACAAAAAAGGACGTCGTAACGACCCAGACAAGCAGATCATCGATTCTCACCCCAAATGCTGAAATTGAAACTTTGAACTCTCAAAGACTCAAACAGGCGACATGGGCCGAAGGGAGTAACTGCATGAGGGAGTGAGCAAATCTATATTGTAGCTTATTTGGGACTTACTCAATCAGGATTACCGTTTCGGCGAGGGGTGAATCCGGCGGCGTGCGGCGAGGTTGATTTGAGCAGGCGGAGGCAAGCTGGCAACAAGTCGAGGAACAGAGGAAGATAATCAAACTCTGGTGTGAAGTGGAGCAGCAAGATGCCAAGGTCCAAGCGGGATTGTTTCAGATAAGATGATTTCTGATTTAGAAAATGTTTACGGACAAAAATATCTCTTTTTTGCATAAGAGGTGTTGGGTACAAAAAGACTGTTTGTAACATAATTAATTTACTTGGGAATTCTAATTAGGTGAAAAGTTTATTCTACTCCGTATTTAACTTAGATTAATTAATGGTCAAAAATTGACTTTTTGTCACTTTTTTGATCCTTTCACTATTATGACATTGAAACTTTTGGTACCCGACTTTGATTTTTTACATATCTAGTCGTCGATTATTGCGCTATAGACACATTTGATACTCGTCTTTGAAAATTTCCACGTTTAGTCCTTCAACTTTCATAAAAGTGACACATTTGATCCGTCAACTACTATGATATTGTCATTTTTAGTCTTCCATTAATTGTGTCAAAATTATAATGAGATGACTAAAGGTGTAAATTTGATAGTACTCGGGGGACTATATGTGGAAAACCTTGAAGTCGGGGACTAAAAATGTCTATAGCACAATAGTTGAGGACCAAAAATGAAAAAATTAGAAGTCGGGTACCAAAAGTTTCACTGACACAATACTTGAGGGACCAAAAGTGGCAAAAATTCCAAAAAAAATTAGACATTTTTTAAACATTTTCGCACTATACTATGTAAAACATTTTAAGTTGAGAGATAGTAAAATATTTTGCAAGCTTTTATAAAACAATGCTTTTGCACGCAAATTAAAACTAAATTATACATTTTGTCAATGTAATCCATTTTACATGCAAATTGATTACCTCCCTAAACTTTGTAGTTTGTATGCAATCATTTCACGTCTAGAGGTGCAAGCGAGCCAAGCCGAGCCCGAACATGTGTATGCTTGAGTTTGATTTTGATAAGAATTTACGATTTTGAGTTCGAGATCATGCTTGGACGAGTTAAATAATTCGGGTCGAACTCGAGCTCGGTTCGAGCTCAGATCAAGTTTTGCTAATTTTTTTTGGGAAAACTGTCAAATAGGTCCTCGAACTTTCATTAAAAGGTCAATTAAGTCCTTCTATAGGAGGTTTTGTCCGGCCGTCGCGATTTGGGGCAGTTCCTGGTGGAATTTGTTGATGAAATTTTTTGAGCATTTTATTCACCAAGTCTAGTTTACTCATACCAAATTTCAGCTAAAAATTCAATCGGGAACACATTCAAATTAATTTTTGAAGATAACTGCGTATTTTTGCGTTCTCGAATTAATTTGAATGCGCTCCCGATTAAATTTTTAGCTGAAATTTGGTATGAGTAAACTAGACTTGATGAATAAAATGCTCAAAACAATTCATCAAAAAATTCCATCTGGAACCACCCCAAATCGCGACGACCGGACAGAGTCTCCTATAGAAGGACTTAATTGACTTTTTTATGAAAGTTCGAGGATCTATTTGACAGTTTTCTCATTTTTTTTTATAGATTTGAGCTCAAATAAGTTGCTTGAATTCAAAGTAAAAACAAAGCTTCTATTTTCCAAATTATTAATATTACATCTACACATACAAAAAAAATTAATAATATGAATGTATCCAATCGTTCTCATACTTAAGTTCCTTTCTCATACGTAGTATTATGTTTATAATCATAGTAATAATATATTTATAATTGTTACGATTATAAATAATATAAGTATTGAAAATGGAGAGTACTCTTCCGGTCAGGTATACCTGACCGGAGCCCCATCCGGCCTCCTCCATTTGGGGCCTTCCCGGTGTTATTTTTTGTTTAAATTTTTTGTGTAGGTTCCTCATCAAGTCTAGTTCATCCATACCAAATTGCAGCCAAAAATTCAATCGGGAAAGTCGTCAAATGAGTTTTGCAAGTTAACTGGTCCGGAAAATACATATTCCGGACCAGTTAACTTGCAAAAATCATTTGACGACCTTCCCGATTGAATTTTTGGCTGACATTTGGTATGTATGAACTAGACTTGATGAGGAACCTACAAAAAATATTTGAGCAAAAACTACCACCGGAAAGGCCCCCAAATGGAGGAGGCCGGACAGGGGGAGTGGTCCGGCCTGGCCGGACCTGAATATTAGTCTGAAAATGGAAGTCCTAAATTAGAATACGTATTCCAAATGATGGCGTGTTTAAAATAAACACTACATCATCAGAGCTTGAGACTTTATTGATAAAATACACTAGAAGCGTGTTTAAGAATGAGCCAATATTAACTGACTGGTTGAACTATCTATTATGTCATACATATTCATAACACACTTGCACACCCTGATGGCGTGATAGCAAGTGACATCCTAGAGGGCTAGATTGTGGCATTGCAGTCATTATGTCCCAAGCGGGTTCCCGAACTAACGGTTTTATTTATTGAGGTTGCGCAGTTCTGCATTGTCATGTTTGGTTCCCAGTTTACTCAGACCATGGTGTGATTATTTGCCAAGTTTTGAGTAACTGACAGAGTGAATTTAGGCTATTAGTTTTGTTTGCTCCATAACTGATATAATCAATTTGAGGACTAGGGAACTTTTTTTTTAAAACACTTTATGTATTATATAAATCTTGTATAAACCCCCATATATTTTGAAAAGTGAACCGTTAATTAAACTTATAAAAGTCAAAACAGCTTAATTTATATTTGTAAAGACTGAGTGAGTTTTTTTTACAGTTCATGTTTTTCTTAGTTATGGATTGAGCTTGAGGCACTGGCAGTTTTGGATCAAGCACAACTAGATTGAGCTTGAGGCACTGGCAATTTTTCTCAAGTATGAAAGTGGTCATAAATCCAGCACAACTACTGTAAACTTGTGTCCTTAGTCCTTACCATGATTCTACTAGATTTCACAGTTGAATGGAGAACGCATAAATCCCAGGCATTGATTCATTTTAATAACAGTTCTTAGTAAAGCTAGTCTTAACTATGGTTTCAAATGATTATCCTAGCTGCTAATATCATGTTCCAAGACAGTTCACTGTCAGTATGTCATTTATGATTTAAAAAAAAAAAATTGAATGCACGCCCAATATCTGGCACAGTTAGAATTTGAGTTTCACATAATAATCTCTTTCATTATCACAATAAAGAGTGATCAAAATATCTTTTTGGTTAGTGCTATACTTCAGTGATAAAAAAAAAAGATGAGGCTTTGTATTTATGTCCATACGCAGAAGGTAGTAAATTTCTTTAGTAACTATACTACAGTCTACACAACACATCATATTTTTGCTATTTTTTATCCCATCATCAATGCCTGATTGCTTCAGTAGGTAATGACCATTAATTGACTAAACCACCTCCAAAGCCACTAGATATGAAAGCAATGGGCTGGTTTTCTTAGAATTGAGTAATTCATAAAGAAGTGTTACAACATAGTCTCTAGCCTTCCAAGTCTCATTTTCACTATCACGGAAAACCTTGACAGCTACCCTGGTATCTATGTGCTCATGCCACCTATATGTAACAGTCAGGAATGAATGAACTTCTGTTCTTTATCCAACCAAGCATTGAGACCTTATGCCTGTCACTAGAAATAGACAAAGATAGAACATTCAAAGAAATTATGAAACTTCAGTCTCTCCCAGTAGAGAAAATAAGAGGTGAGATGATGATATTAACATTTAACCCAAAAATTCTAACTATAACACTTTCAACTTTTGAATACGTACTACGTAATTAATAAAAGGAACATGTTGAATAAATTCATACATACTTTTAATCTTTGCATTCCCTCAAGTAATCACAAACATCTAATCCTACCAAACAGAAGGAAAATCAGCTAACTCAATTCGTTAGTCAAAACCGCTAAATCCACCAACGTACTAGTCAAAACAGTTAATTCAACTAACTAGCCGCTAACAACTAATCACCAAACAGCACACTCTTTATGCTTTAGCCCCCCTTGAAAAATTGTTCTAGTTTGGCCTGTGGCCCTCCACACGCTGCATCCTTTCGAGGATCTGTGAGGTCTAGGTGCTACTGGAGGTTGGTGGGCAGAAATCCATGCTTTTAAAGACTTCAAAAACGGAGCAACCATATAAAGTCTGAGGCCGCTAGAAGTCCGAGACGTGACATCACCAAATCCTGACTGGAGCTCATCAAGCTGGTGCCACGCAATTTCACTAATCTCCTTTTTCGTGAGCGGTGCAAAGACTGTATCATCTTTCACTCCATCAATTATGTAGAGCCGAACCCTTTGCTCATCAAAAACCATCTCAACGTACTCTTCTTTTTTAAGAAGTTTAGACACTTCAAACCCGGTTTCCTCGAAAACCTCTCTAACAGCACATGCATCATCTTCTTCATCCTGGTTCTTTTTCCCACGAGGGAAACTCCAGTTTGATGATCCTTTCCAGCCCTTCACTAGCAAGCACCGCTCATAAGTTTCGTCCAGGATTATGGCCCCTGCAACAGGAACTCGAACCTTATATGAGATGAAGTCCTGGAAGATGTCATCTACATGGGCAGCATATGGTTTGAAAGCGTCACAACTGTTGAATAATAGAGAAGTGAATTCCTTGAGAGTGAAAGATTTCAGTGATGGATCGTTTTCAACCAAATTGTCTTCGTAAAACCAATGGGCATACTCAACCAGAAACATAATCCTTTCAAAAGACTGTAGATCTTCGTTTGGAACATTCAGAATAAATCGACTGCAAATGTCGTCAAGTAATGCTTGCGGTGGCAGAAGATGACCCTTCTTTGAAGGATTGATAAACCTAGACATAGTTCTTGAGTAACTTAGGCTTTCTTCGCAGTTGCGAGATGGCAGAGGTTTTGAAAATAGAACGATGAAGCTGTCGTAATGACTGAGGGCTTTTATAGGTAAACTTGTTTCCAAAAAAAATAACCGGTTTACTTGCTACCACCGCCTGAAATTACTTTCTTAATCCGTATTATTATTTCCAAAACGGATCTCGTTTGCCCACCCTTTACTAAATTTGTCCTCTTTCCAAATTGAACTCACTCACTTAGTCACTTACTCACTTGTACTACGTAGTACTTAGCACACCAGACTCCCTTGCATTGCTTTTTAATTTTAATTTTTTGACAAAGTATTGCTTTTAAATTAAAACAGGTATTTACATTTCCTTAAATTTTGTTAACTGTTTTTTTAAATGACTATCTTTATTTTAAAGTACACAAAAAATCTTAAATCTTAATAGAATTATATACAAATTGTAATTTTTTTTTTTGGATATATACAAATTGTAAAACATTATAATGCTCTTATGATTTTTTTACAATTTTTATTGTACGGATGATAAATCAGAAGATTATCTAAAAAGTAATAATCTTGACTTTGAGGCTATCTAAATATTTATTCATCTTGATTCATATTATTCACTTCATCTATCATTTTATCCCACTAAGTTTGCATACAATGTTAGTGATATTGAGTTGTCTTATACACTTTTCCATTCATTTTTTTAATATCATAAAATAGCGACTGTTATATTAAAATCAAGAACACCTGCAAGATAACCTTCAGATAGAATTTATAGATCCAATTGTGAAACATAGGAGTAGACTTAGAGTCAACCACCTCATACAAAGCAACATGACTCTCTAAACCTGAAACGGGCAAATTTAGGCCTAAAACGATTGGAACCAAAAACCTGTGTATCAAAAGAACTCCAAAAATCCATACATCCAAACTAAATCTACTTGGACTAAAACAGAAACAAGTACTACTAAAGAGAAAATAATACTAAAATAAAATATTTCCACAAAATTCTTCCCGGTATGGAGGTGGTTCCGGAGGAGGACAAGCTCTTAAAATATGGGTGAATACCAACTCCACCACCGTCAGAACGACCGACCAAGCCTTCACGATCCCGCCTCGATACAACCTCACAGCAGTACCGGCTTTAGGCCCTAGGCTGTTGCCTAGGGCATCACTTTGAGAAGGGGCACCATATTAAAAAAAACTAGTATTACATGTTAGTATTCGATCTTATGTAGTTTAAAATGAAAGTGTATTAGTACGTATTAAAATTGGCCCCTAACCCCATCAAGGAATCAACAAGACAACAACCGCATGACCATACCTATTACGAGTTGACATTTAAGTATATACTCCGTATTCAACGTTTATTTTTCACTTTTTAATTGAAGTCTGATCTCCAGTTCTCAAAAAAATTGAAGTCTCCAAGCGACCAAGCCCACTTACCCAAAAATGAAATGCAACCTTTCACTAATACCGAGTAATTTATAAAATAATTACTTTGCATGTGAAGTAAAAAAAAATACTTTGCATGTGAAGTGTAAGGACGTAGAATGTTTACACTGTTTAGTTTGATTATTTAATGTAATTAGGACATCTTTTTAAAACATTTCACACTGTACCATGTAAAATATTTTATGTGGGGGTGGTAAAATACTTTGCATATCTTGTATGAAGCACTGCAACGGTTTTGCGTGCAATTTAAAAATAAATTGCACATCTAGCCAAATAATGTAATCTATTTTATATTCAAAATGATTGATTCCCTATACTTTGCATGCACTCATTTCGCGTACAAAGATTTAACGTATAAACTATCAAATGAGCCTAAAACAAATTAACAAAAGTCTTTTGAGTTGGAACTTAGAACACTTTGCCGTTTCAGAAATCCAATCTACATCGCATCAACCTTTTGCTTCGTTAGTAATCACCAACATATCAATTCAGCAATAAGTACTCCGTATTAAGTAGTGAGAATATTCATCTTCATTCTTTTTCCTAAGTAATATCCTAATAAGACTTTCGGCTTCCCGAAACTTCAGTTAAGTAGCACAACATTGCAAATAAGAGGTATTTAGTTTTTGTAATTAAGTGATTTTATTGATGTAATTGATTTACATATTAACGAACTTACGATTGTAATTTTTCTTTGTAAAAACGTGTTATGAATTTATCAATTATACTTGAAGTTATTGTTTTTAATTTATAACTATTCTGAAATTTGCTCTTTATAAATTATACGAAGTATTTACTAATTTATACTCCGTAATAAATTTTACACTTCAAAAAGGCAAGAATTATCAGGCAGCAAATTGTCAGCTTTGTATATTTCATACGTAGTACTTCATAGAGTAAAAGGTCAGTTTCGTCCTCGAAGTTGCAAAAAAGGGGTCAAATAAGTCCTTATATAGAAGATTCTGTCCGGACGTGCCATTTGAGGTGGCTCCCTGTAGAATTTTTTGATGAAATTTTTTGAGCATCTTATTCATTAAGTCTAGTTTACTCATACCAAATTTCAGCTAAAAATTCAATCGGGGAGACATTCAACGGCACAATTATCTTCAAGAATTCATTTGAATGTCTTCCCGATTGAATTTTTATCTGAAATTTGGTATGAGTAAACTAGACTTAATGAATAAGATGCTCAAAAAATTTAATCAAAAACTTCCACCGGGAGCCACCTCAAATGGCACGTCCGGACAGAATTTTCTATATAAGGACTTATTTGACCCCCTTTTTACAACTTCGAGGACCAAACTGACCCTTATCCCGTACTTCATATATGAATATATATTTCATACTATATGATTTGTAAGTTAATTATTACCTTTCACAATCAATTTTGAGTGTATTGAGTAGTAATCATATTTTTTCAATTTTTATTTACTTCATATTTATTTTTATTATTGATATAAATTATTACAAGGTATATAAACTCATTGTTTGCCTCGGGCACCAAAATTCCCAAAGCCGACCCTGCCTCACAGCCGCATCTCGTTCATCCGTCAACGCTATTTCTATGACGTAGTTGCATGCAATTCCAAGAACATTTACAATCAATATAATCTGCCGCTCGAACCCCATATCGACAGGGGCAGCGGAAAAAATCAACCCCTCCAAAGAGGGGGCCGGTAGAGTTTTTTTTCTCTCTAGAAAAGGGAGATAGTAATGTAAAACTTTCCATTCATCTTTTTATTGAATATTCAACTTATTCTATTATCATATAAATATTATTGACACTATTCAGGATGTTTTTACTTAGAGTACTTTCAATCTTATACCAAACTATAAGTATAGAGACTAGACCAGATCAGATTTCGATGGTTAAATAACATATAAAATGGTCATCTAACAAATCATATTAGTTTATAACTTTATACCAAATTAAATTAAACCGAACTCAAACATACCAAACCAAATCAATTCACACCTGATCAAACTAGACTAGAAAAAGTGATATATACATTTATTAGTTCACACTGACTCATCATCTATTAGAAACTTATCACTATGAAATACACGATAATGACTTTGTCAAGTTATTCATACACAATGACTAGTTATATGTTGTCCAGAAAACATAACTAGTCATATTTTTGTCCGGTGAAACTTTGTCACTACTATAAATGTCATTTTTTCACATTATTATCCATAGTAATGTTTATTAAGAAAAAACCTATTAAATAAACATCTAATGAAAAGTATAGTAGCGACATCCAAGCTAACACTGTGTTTGGATGAAGTGTTAGGGGTGTTAGTAATGGAAGTGTTGAGAAGTGTTGATATTAACACTTGTTTGGGAGAGAAATTAAGAAGTGTTAACGGGTGTTAGTAAGTGTTAAGAGGTGTTAGTAATTACCCCCTCAACACCTCATTTGTCCACTTTTTTAACACCCCAATTTGGAGTGTATTGAAGTGTTTGACAATTACCACCCTTCATTACCGATAAAAAATAGCCCGCTACTTCTATTTGCCGTACAACCCTCTCATCTGGTCGTCCACTCGTCTGCCTCCATCTCTTCTGCGGCAATCTCTTGTGCGGCAACCTCTCACTCCTTGTCAGCCTTCATCTTATCTGTTCATCATTTGTTATTCCAGGTTAGTTCTCTCAGAACCAGATTTTACATATTCCTTATATGTTTTATTTATATAAGTGATAGATTGATGTGTGTATATATGAGATATACATAGTATAAGAAAAATCTTGACTGACAGATCTCCTTATGTGCCATCTCGCTCATATTCAAGCTGGTCTATTGTTATTCAATAGATATACGTTTATATGTTTGCAAGTCTATTTTGGAAGCGTATGTTTAAATTGAGCCTCTTCATATTGCAATTTTAGGTTTGTATGTTTATATTTTCGAAGTGTATGTTTAAAACATACGTTTATATGTTTGCAGGTCTTTTAATTTTTGAGTTTTTAGGTTTGTATAATCAAATTGCAATTTTTAAATTGAGCCTTTTCAAATTCAAAAAATAAAAATTAAAAATATGGCCGGTGTGTATATATATGCCATATATATGGCCGGTTGATGTGTAGTCTTCAACTCATTAATCCCAATCTTTGAATCATATCCTCTGCACATCTTTTGCTACCTCAAAGCTACAATCCATCATGATTCTTTGTCCATTAATTATTGATAGCAAGTTCACCAAGTATCCATCAACCATCATGATTCTTTGTCCATTAATTATTGATAGCAAGTTCACCAAGTTGTAGTGACCTTTTAACCAATGATATTATTTTATATCAAGAAATGCAACAAAGTATTTTCTCTCTAAAAACAACAGCCCGTTTCTTAAATTTTGGTGTGTTGGTTACTTCACTTTATATTTGTTGGGCTGAAATGAACTTCAGAAATATTAAATTTTGTTTTTTGAGTGGCTAGTAGCTATAGTTAGGCTTCTATAATAGCTTTATAATTCATCTACGTAATAGTCTTTCATTTGTTTTATGTTTTATTAAGATGTATTGGGTCAGATTGCGTTGAAGAAAAAAAGTGAACCGCGTTCTCACATTGGAGGGAGAAAGAGTAAGGAATTTGCTTTTCGACAGGGTGGTAACTCATTATTTAGGTCGCAGT